CTGCAGGCCCTATGAAACACACAGTGAATCCAGACATAGAGTATGTTGATATTGCAGTTTGGTTTCCAGTTGAGAAGCGTAAATTCATCTTATTTGTTGACATAGGTCTAAATGTATGTCTTAGATGTTCTTTTTTTTCATGTATCGATGAGAAGTCTGTTATGAATTATTTTTTCTGCCACAGAACTTTTTTCCGTGAGATTTTTAATCTGATATTTTGATAGAAGTTTCATTTTAAGTTGTTCTTGATAAGTAACAATTCTTTTCAGAAAACATCCTGTGGAAATTTAGCTGTATAGTTTGAGCTAATGTAACTTGGTTTGCATTGCAGTCATGCACACTAAAAATACAGTTGACATTAAATATTAATGTAACTTCTTGTACCTTTTGGATTTGGACCTCATGAAGATGCAAGACTTCTCTAGGTTATCTGTAGACTGTCTTTTGAGGGGCACTCAGAGATCATCCTGAAGATTATATTTGCCAACAGGGATAATGGGAAGTGTGTTTCAACTGGTGGAGGAATGGATGCTGGCTAAATTTTGTATTTTTTTTTTTCTTTGTGGAATTTCATTAGTTATGTGTGTAGGACAATTTTCAGGATGTATTCAGTGTACAAGTCTTTTAAAAAGTAATATTTTGCATCTAAATGGAAAATGTACATATAAAACTTCATCCTGAAAACAAAATCTTTAATTTCACAAACTAGTTCATGATAAACATACTGCAGTATGTTTGCATATCTTGTAGTGCTGTGTTGTGTCTGTGTAATTTAAACTAATTTAGTAAGCAATTTGATCTAGCTTTAGTTGGTCTTGGCAAATATGCTCTCAGTATAAATGTCACACATGCTTTGCATGAATTTAAACTGTGACTGTCATGGTTCATCTAGAGTGATTGTCCATCTGTTATCTTGTGAACAGAGTGCTTTTTTTGTGTGTGAAAAATGACAATGTTAAACTTCGATTTATTTTTGTAAGTGGTTTTGAAGAAAGGGATTCTTCACTGCAAAGCCTAAGCTTGTTAAAATTATTTGTGGAAGGACCCAGCCAACAGACATCCAATGAGATTTTTCTTCAGTGCTATCAGTTACTTGTTGTTCTCTCCAACAAATGGTTTTTCATACTCAGTTTATGTGGAAAAAAACCCTAAATCTAAAATACCTCTAAAGTGAACTCCTTCTAAGGATTCTGATGAAAACTCAACTGATCCATGAGCTTTTGGTGGACTGTAGAGGAAGGAGTGCAGTTATGTCTGAATTAGCACCTGAATGCCTAAACACCTAAATTAAACAGATAACTGGCGTTTTATGGAATGTCAATAAATTGGGAGTTTGGCTTCTAAGTTGGTTCAGAATCACTTGTGCTTGAAAGTGAAAGCTCAGCATCTTCACAGAAATATGTGCAGACATAGTAGGTTTTTAAAACCTTCATTCTTCTTATCGTATTTAGCCTCAAATTCCTAACAATTGTAATTGTCCACAGAAAACATTTCAAGATAAATGCATTATCAGGTTTTGAAATTTTCTTATTTTTGTAAATACTAAGACCTGGGGGGGCAAAATAAGGGCTATACTGTGGATTAAGTGAAATATCTCAAGGCTGTGCTTTTCTGATAACTGAACCTGAAGTGACCTTTCTCAGACACAATTACAGAGCTGTATGTTTTTCCTTTAATTTCATCAGGGGTTTAATTAGTATACAAATAAAACTTCCCTTATCTTCCTTTCTACCTAATTGGCTTGTCTTCGCTTATATATGAAGAATGTGAAAATGGGCTGTAATTAGGGTGACCGTGTTAACCTTTTTTTCTCAAATGTACTGTTGCCTAAAGGCCTCAAGGCCTAAAAACAGTGCTTTGGATTATTGCTTTGCAATCACTATGGCTCTCCCATAGGTTTTCTCATGAGCAGAAGGGCTTTGGGTGCTGCAGGTTCCCACTGCTTAACAGGATCTTCATTCTTCTCCCCACTAAATGTTTATTGATTATCTCACTGCTCCACACTCAGCCTCCAACAACTTAATATCAGGTGACAGTCAGGAGAGTTCTCCAAGTAATTAGAGTGGAGCATTGAGGGAACAATTAGGAGCAGAGTTATTAAACTTGATTTATCCTATTCTCTCCTGAACACTTTCTTGGATATCAGAACATCACACTTTCACAATCTACCCTGGCTGAGAAATTAGTGGCTAACCTGCTGCTTATCATTGTTGCCTTGCTGCCTTGAGGCACACCCTCTTGGTTTCAGTCACTCAGCTGGAAATATTAGAGTCCATAAAGTTTATCAAGGGTTTTAATTAGATCAATCTGAAGAAGAAAAAAAAGAGAGGCTTAGCAGCCATTACTTTAGAATACTCCACGCTGTATTTGAGCAATTTCCAAGGCTTGACTTTAACCCACAGTAGCAAGGAACTTCAAGTGAATGCTGAAACTGCTTTTAGAGAGCTAAAATCAGTTTACATTTTGCTTAGATATTGCAGTATTATTGATAGGTAAAGTCTGAATCCTTAGGAGATTTCTGTAAATAATGGTGAAAGCTTTGAATATGATAAAGCAGCTGTTCAGTGAGATATTTGATTTAAGCATTTCTATATTGCTTCGTCACCAGCTAGTGTGGATTGCTGCCCATGCCTCTCAAAGAGTTAGGCTTCATGCTTTCATCCCTGTTATTGCCTCATTAATAGGCCTGTGCTTGCAGTTGGTAAGCAAGATTAGTTAGCAGCTCCCAGAAGATTTTGATACCTAGTGGGTCTCTTCACCATTTGTGGTCAGTGAGGAAAGCTTTATGTGGGAGCAGACAACTCTTCAGCCCCTGTAGAAGGATAGCTATCTAATAAAAATGAAATAAATACACATAATGTTCCTGTTATCCTATCTTTCTTCATTCATTTAGACCACTGGAATCTTGGAGCCAGACTCTATTCCAGCAGCCTCTACATCAAAAGTTGCTTGCATCAAAATAGCAGAATTACCTATTCTACATCAGCCAGAGCTCAGTCCTCTGACTACATCTTAAAAAGGGATTTTTCAATCAGACGAGGAGGTCGGATGGACAAAGTGTTGGCAACAGAGACATTTTTCTCTGTTCAATAAATTTTGTTTGTTAAAAAGATGGGAATATGGGTGGAGAGGGTGGCTTGACTCTGTTTTCATATCTGTTTCCTCAATGCTGACTTAGCCTAGAACAAACAAACAAACAGTAAACACAATAAATGGAGGAAGATAATGTTCGTCGTTCTTAAATTAAAGACAGCTCCTTTTATCCTTGCTAATCCACATCTGGTTTCTTGGAAATAGCTGTTCTGAAAACCTGACAGTTCACAAATTCAGCTGTTCAGACAGGGCTTTCGTAGCTGCTGGTGGCATTAGGGTAGAATTTCTGAAAGCAACACTTCTGGGTTTGGATATCTTTATCCTAATAATGCAGTGGAAGAATGAGATCTGTGTATTTATCTTTTCTTAGGTGAAAAATAGCATTCTTCATCAAAAATAATGACATAAGATGCAGAATAGAGTTGTTCAACCTGCAGTAATTTGAGCAAAACTAATACTAACATTTCTGGGGTTTAGAATTTCTTAAATAAACTCCTGATTGTTTTTTTTCTTACAGCAGTGATTAATCTCAGCCTGGATTTTGTAAATTGCTGAACAGAGAGTTCAGGTGGAGGTGCTGTACCTTCCAAATACTCTGTTGAAATAACTAGTTGCTTTTTTGTCTTGAGAAATGTTCGAAGAAAACTTATGCCAATCCACAGATTTCAGTTTATTTTGCAGGATTATGCACTTTTGTGCTGTACTTTGTTATTTTATAGAAATTTTCTCTAGCATATTGTTTTTTGAAGTGCCTTTGACACTTGGCGAGGTCTGATTTTCAGATTAGTTGAATTTTCAATGCCCTCCAAATTATTATCAGCTTTTGTATATACTGTTCTTAATACATATCCACAGCATAATACCTATTATCCATGTTCCACAGTCCAGGTCAAGTAATCCTGAGTACAAATTATGCAGAGCATTCTTAGAACTTAAGCAGAAAACATCCATCAATTTTGAAGACAAGGTGCAAGAGCTCAGTCTTGCAACTGTGCTGCCTTCACTATCCTTCTATATTGGTTAAGAATCTGTCAGGGAATTTGCATTTGGTAAAAGAATGTTTATAGTCACCTATTATAATTTCTTTCTAAAAAGGCAATTAACAGCTGTAAGTGAAATGTAACATTTAGCAAACTATGAAATCATGTTATTAATACTCCAGTCTATAAAAGTATTGATTTATCCCAGCAGAAAGGAGTAGCAACTAGCCAGGTTCTGTATTAATTAGTTCTGTGTGCTATTTGTCATCTATTGGATTAATCTGAATTGATTTAATGCATGTTGTGTTAATTCTAAGCCAGAGAGAAACATTAAAAAAATACACGTACTATTTTGCATATTGGAAAACTAATGTTAAAATAGTGAAAGCACCATAAAATAGCGATTTATTCTTAGCAAGAATTGCAGCAAAACTGTACTTAATGCACTAATAGAGAATATTAGATTCTTATTCTTTTTTAATCCTGAAATTTCTGAATAGTGCAGAATATTTAAATAAATGCTACTTTGTATATTCCCTTTCTTTCTTTGTGAATCCTTTTCTTTAATGTTCATTATAAATTCAGTTTTGAGAATATTCTGTTCTCTTTAATGCTGTACTCTTTGATTATTTCCACTGTGTTCAGATCTGGTATTTGTAAATATAGTACCTGTAGCACAGTATATGTACCTGTTTGATAAACAAATCACTTTATTTTATAAAACATATTTGTACACAGGCAAAATACTAAAAATGGGGGGTTCTGAGTTAGTAATGGTTTTGCTAGAGAATTTGTAAAACCTTAGCATGTAATGGTCCAAATCTACTTCACAGTCAGTCTGTTTTCCACTTTGTTTAATAGCCTATGGCATAAATTGAAGTTAATTATTTGGGCTGACAAGTAACTCTGCCTTCTGTCTGCTTGCAGAGACTCTCTGAGGCAAAGATGGAGCTGAGAAGAAAAGATCAATCTCTGCGTCAGCTCAATAGACTTCTTGCCCAGCTGGAGCAGGACAAGCGTGGACTGAAAGAGAGCATCCGTGATGCAGAGAGTGCCCTCTGCATGGCAGTGAAGTGAGCGCTGGGACCTTGGGGAGATCACTTAAAACGGACAAAAGATCAATTCTTACTTTCATGCACAGGGTTTTAGCCCTGGCTAATGTAATGCTAGAAAACAAAAGTACATCTGTCTCTCTTTGAAATTCAGTGATAGTCTTCTACAAAGAAAACTGTTAGTTCAGGATACTAGATGGTATGTTTTCTGTAGTTATCCCATAATAGTGCTCCAAATTCTGGGTCCTGAAATAGCATGGGCATTTTTATTTGCCAATTATCTTACTGATTTGAGAGCATCTCTTTGGCAGATCCTTAACACTCTGTTTATTTGAGAAACAATTGCTTGTTTTCTGTTTCCACGTCATCTTTTTATAGAGAAATACAATTTATTTATAATAAATACAGAAACATCAGCTAGGTGACAGGTCTTGGCTGCCAAAGGGGCTGAAACCCATTTTGGACCTGGTCTTGTCTGTGGAATAGGATAGATCTTTCAGCTGATTTCAGAGAGTTTTGGATTTAGACATAAAACCCATGCCTTTTTATACCATAACCTGGAGAGTGGAAGGAAATGTTCAGGGACCAATCTTGGAAAGATTGGTAGTCAAAAGATGTTCCATTGACTTGAATAAGATTATTACTAACCTCTTACAGTCATATAGTCAGATAAAAGGATAAATCTTTGCAGACTCTCTTATCTATTACTCTTATAGCAGTATGTACTTTCAGTATTGTTGGTCTATGGCTGTTTTAAAAAAAGTTTAATTTAAAATTAAAATTTCTCATTATACCTGAGATACATTTGCTCTGAAGAACAGTATCTTAGAAGCTTTAAGGGTTTTATGCACAAGTGAAATAATGTAATTAATATAGTTATCAGTGAAATGTTTAACAAGCTAATTAAAATGAAAAATGTTATTTGGTATGAGTATACTAAACCAGATGTGACCTGAAGAAGGATTTGCTCTGGAAAGCTTGCCCCTTTTTCACCCTGCCCCAGCCTATTTTATGCACCGTAGTAAAGATCATTCCCTGTGACCCTTCTTATATTCATAAAAAGTTATTTTAATGTGAAGTGGTTTTAAAATTCTTTTTATTTCTGTATATAGCAATTGAATATTGACAAAGGAAAAACCTATACCACTTACTGTTCTACCAACTCTTCATAAAAAATGTCTTTTTTTCCCTTTGGAACATACAAGCAAAGTAAGACTTTACTTTTGTCCAGAAAATCTTATTTTAATACCTCTTCCATAACCTGAGTGATTGTAAGCAATGCTGTATGGGTGTCTTCCAAGTTCTTTCCTAATCTTTTCTACAACTTTAAAGGATAGCAAGATGGCTGGCTCATTCTGAGAATGGCTATCTTGATTTTCTTGCAGTGGTGGCCAGCAGTTCTGTTCCACTTTCCTCCAAAGTAGGAAGCAATATTAATAAAAGTGTCTGATAGCATTGAACTTGACAGAAATTTAGTAGCCTTTTGGTCATTTCTCTGCTAGATAGAAACTCTCTATCAAACCTTCACCCCAGCTGTAGTGTAAAAGATGATGTAAAGCATGTTCCTCATGCCTGAACTACATTTCTGGATAATAATCCTAACGAATAGTTCTATGATCCAGTTCCAATTTCCCTTACACCTGTAGGAGTTGACAAATATGTGAAATAAAGACTGAATGAAATGTGGATCCTGGCATGTAGGGGTGCAACAGATTAATTTTAAAAAGTTTTTTCCTAGGTAGTATAAACAAATATTATGAGACTTTTATTCTAAGATGTTATTTAAGATAATAAATCAACCACAGTCAGAGGGCTTTCTGTTTACAAAAATAAAAACCTGGGGACCACCTATTAACTTGGATCCAAAATTCCATCTACAGATACTTTCCTTTTTATGATGAACACCCAAGAATATGCAAGGAACAGACTGACTTCTATGTCAGTAACTAACTTAGAAATTAATGGTGTTGAACTAGCTCTCTAGAACTGACTTCACCGAGACAAACAGCAGTCACTACATAAATGCAGCCAACAGAGAAGGTGAACAGCATGTCCTTGTCAATCTAGTCCAAAGAAAGACAGGATCCTGAAAAGAGAAAAATCTATGTGACAGCTTCACTAGGAGTGTAAAAGCCAATCCTACATTTCTGGTCACCTTCCTGTATTTGCTGTTAGGATAGTATGAATCAAAAAATGAGGAAGCGATGGTCATTCCAGGCAGAAGAATGCCATGGTTTTGACTTCTGTTTTAGAAACTGTAAGAGCTCAAACAAAATATTTACATAGCTGACAAGGTAAAAGACAGTCCTGGAATATTAAGGTGTATCAGCTTTTCTGGCATAGATTCCATTTGATTTCCTGTGGTGTTTTGTTGGTCACACTGTCCTGTTCTCCTTAGACATATGGTATTATGCAACTTTAATTCCATTTCTGTCAATGCATCAGATGAAACCAAGGTTTTTTTATGGCAGCGTAACTGATCAAAGCTGTTTTTCTTGCTGAAGCCCTAATTTACAAAAAGGCATGAGAGTACTCTCCAAACTTCTGTTTCATAAAGGTAGGATCCTTGACTGGACTCCTTTTGGAAAAAGACTAGTGGAATGTTCAGGTTTAGAGAAGACAGGAAGACTTGTATGCATATAAGTCCGTGGTTGTTAGGCCCATATAATGATGAAAAACATAGAATTTGTCAGTTTTTTCCAGTATGAGAATGTAATCTCTTCCTGCTAGTGTCTGGACTCCATTCATCAAGCCCTATTTATCCAAGACTGCAGATTTCTTCTCCAAGAACACGGTAGTTGTTCATTGATATGCCTATAGATATAACTAGTTTAATTGCTTATCCACAACAGAAGCATCTTTCAGATGGAGATGTGCCAAATAGTGGTCCATGAACTATTTTTTAGGGCTTGCATTGGAGATATAAAAAGGAGAGATACAAACATAACAGTTTGAGTTATCAACAATTATTTTTAAAGACATGATGCTTATCAAGTAGCAGAAAATGAATTTCTACACCAGTAGAGCGTCAATTCTATTAACTAATCTGTTTTATTTTTTTCTCTCGTAATAGAGACAAAGAATTGATTATTAGTCATATGAAATCTGTGGAAGCCACTCTTCATAAGGTAAGAATTTGAAGTGTTCCCTCTGCATTTGTATTTCCAAACACATTGAGGTTTTACCACCACTTATTCTCAGGGAAGGAGGGGAGTAGAAGTCTCCTTAGAGTTTAAGTTTCCACCTTCAGCTTATTTCATCTCCAAAACCTATTGATATTTAGTGAAATAAAAATACAATTTTGTAGTACACAGACTTCTTATTTTTAATATAAAACTCATTACAAAAATCACCTTCCTTCCCTCAATCACTGAGCACTATTTCTGGTTACCAAGTGAAGACTATTGATCATCCAAACAGTTCATAATTGCTGCTGAGTTAACTCTCTCTGCTGAGCAAGGCGGAGGTCATCTGGTGAGGTCACGTGGTGGCCATAAGCCATTTGGCTTTGTACACGCTACTTTGAAACATGATAAATAAAATAAGGAAGACACCGTAAGTATTAACCTGTAATCAAAAACTTTCATGATATTTTTTAAAAAACTTTTTTAAATTGAGTAGTCATTTTAAGTTGTCTCTTTGACTTGTACTATTTTGCTTTGGTATAGTATTCTTAGAAGGTTCAACAAAGCTGTATATATTAATTATTTGGGAGAAAGAGCTGTTCTTAACTGTAGCTCTAGTGGCTGATTGTCTTTATAACTGTTTTTAGTCCAGAGCGACACAGAGCAAAAGAAGTGTTTTTATTACCTTGGAGTGTTCATTTCTCTTATCACATCTTGAATTCCCAGCAACATGGGCATCTATTCCTTATTTTAGTTTCTGTGTCCACCGAAACTGCTGTTAATTTAATGTTCAGATACCTTTTTAAAGTTTCTTTTTCCTTTAATGTTGTGCTGGTTTTGCTGGGATAGAGTTAATTTTCTTCGTAGTAGCTAGTATAGGGCTATGTTTTGGATTTGTGCTGAAAACAGTGTTGATAATGCGGAGAACTTTTTGTTATTGCTGAGGAGTGCTTACGCAGGGTCAAGGCCTTTTCTGCTTATCACCCCACCCCACCAGTGAGCAGGCTGGGGGTGCACAAGAAGTTGGGAGGGGACACAGCTGGGACAGCTGACCCCAGCTGACCAAAGGGATATTCCACACCATATGATGTCAAGCTCAGCATATAAAGTTGGGGGAAGAAGAAAGAAGGGGGGACATTCAGAGTTACAGTGTTTGTCTTCCGAAGTCACTATTACGTGTGATGGGAGTCCTGCTTTCCTGGAGATGGCTGAACATCTGCCTGCCGATGGGAAGTGGTGAATGAATTCCTTGTTTTGCTTTGCTTGTGTGTGCGGCTTTTGCTTTACCTATTAAACTGTCTTTATCTCAACCCATGAGTTTTCTCACTTTTACTCTTCCAAATCTCTTCACCCTCCCACAGCAGGGAGTGAGAGAGCGGCTGCATGGTGCTTAGTTGTCAGCTGGGGTTAAATCACGACAAATGTTCATAAAAAGTGACAGTACCTAAACCGTGTGTTTTAGCTGCAGCAGACTGTGCTGATAGGTAATGTCTTCCTTTGTGTCTCCATCTTCTTCACACTGGCTTCTTTTAAGCTTGGGAAATCAATGTAATGCAAAAGTGCTGTAATTTTACAGTAACATGTACGTGTAATGTGCTTAGCCTTGAGAATTTATTGTTCTGGATTGCAAGTTTACATTTTGATTCAGAAAGCAGTGCTGTATATGCATAAGGATTTAAATGTTTGGGGAAAGGTTATAGGGAAGGTCACATGCTTAGTACTGATTTTCCTGATGCAATGAATGAATCTAGAAACTGCCATCTTTCTTTGAGAATTTTAGTTACCACATAGGCTTTTTAGTTCATCATGTACATAGTTGTTAGGCCCAAATAGCTTATTAATGAGTAGAAGAGTAATTTATCCTTTCTGGTTTGTCAACCTAAGGAATGAGGAAAACATAAGAATTAGAAATGTCAGGATGCTCCTTTCAGAAGGAACTAAAAAGAACTGATTGTAAATCATTCATAATTTGACATATCACTTCTCCTAGAAGAACAAAAGGAAATTATTGATCTTTGGGAAATATCGGAAATGTAAACCTTACATCATAATGGTAGTTAATTATCTAACATTAATGAACATGGCTTATGCGTAAACTATCAAGTTTACACTGTTGTTCTTAAAGGTTTTCTCACACAGTAAAAAATCAGAACATGAAGTAGATGAAATACTAGTAAAGGAACCACAAGCCTGTCTTTTCCCTCATAGAAATTCTGGGAACTGCTTTTGTTTTCAAAAAAGGAATCAAAAGAAAATGGATAAAGTTCAGAATCATCTGGAGTTGAACAAGTATTACTCTTAGCTGCAGATATATTTATGGGAGTTTGAAATTGAACATTGTGTTATTTCTACGTTGATGTATTCATGAGCAAATATCCACAAAATTCCACTGTATTGCTTGCAGGATCTTTGTTATCAATGCGTAATGCTAAATTTTTGCCTATAGAGCTCAGAGGGATTTTACAGACATCCTTAGTAATCTTACACTCAGAATAAGATGGTATGCACTGATGTCCATTAAAGCAACCTCATTCTTCTCTACTGTATCACTACAAGAATTCCAGAAGGCAGCAATGTAAGTACTAGATCATCTGCCTTTGGGTATACTTGGGTGTAATATTCAGCAAACAAAGCAAGAAGGAGCAGAGCTGAGGGAGACAATCTCTGTGCATGCTCCTAATACAACTCTAGACAAGGGATCATTTACAACACTGGCTGCTCCCCCTCTGACTGGATGGAAAATCTAGTATCATACATTTGGCTTTGTCAACAAGTGCTTGGGCATGCGCTTGTGCCCAAAATCATTCTTTTAAGACCATTTCAGACCCACCTTTTCAAATCATCATGAATATTTATGAAGCATAAATGTTGAAGAACTTGAGCATATGCTATGCTGAGAGAGAAAATACTTTTCGCAGCTAGTTCTATATCCTTCATAACCTGCAAGATATTCTTCAGAAGGCTATTTTTCATGTTACCCTGGGTCTTGTCATGTTAGCTATCTTCATCTGACTCCTGGAGCGGGATCATTGCACAAGAGTTCCTGATACCAGTAAAATAAGAGATCTTTCTTGGTTTTATACCATCTAAATATTGAAGACAAATATCAAAGTGAAAAGTGAATGTTTTACCAAATTTAAAAAAAAAACATCAAGGGCAAACAAAGGACCTCAAGAAGATTTTGGTTTGGATCAGTTTTATTCTTACAATATTAAAGATGACCGAAAGGTAATAGCTGAATTTTTTAAAAATCTAGGTTCGGAAAACATGCATTTTTCTTTTTCTTCCCTAGAATCTTAAACTAAAAAAGCTAGCAGAGTAGAACAGGTTTAAGCATTGGCTCCTTGGAGAACTTGTGTCCATGACTTGACTGATTTCTTTAAAAAAAAAAAAAAAGCCCAATGTAAGATGTAAAATGGTGACAGAAATAAATTAATTTTTGCTGGAATAGTTCTTAGAAGAAATTCCATCTGCTTGAAGTTCAAACATAAAGAGTTTTCTTAAAAAGTCTTTGCGTCAAGAGAAAAAGCATTTAATTAAATGTCTTATTTTAAAACCCATCTGCAGTCCTTTTTTAATGTATGAAAAATAAATTATTTCTCGAAACACTTTCATCTCAAAAATGTTATTTTAGTTATAAATACATCCTTGTTATACTTGTTGATAAACTGTATTTCATTATTAATTTCTTTTGTACTTCTTAATATCATGTTTGCATAAACAGAGACATTAAATCTGTTCATTTATACACCTAGATTTTTTTAACATGTAGTTAATGACTTACTAGTTATGGTAATCCCATCAGTGTAAGAAATCATTTTACGGTCTCTTTGCTAAAATCTTCAGCCTTACCTTTGTATTGCTTCTCAGTTTGAGTGCTTGTGGTGGGTTAGCCTTGGCCAGCAGCCAGATGCCCACCCAGCCGCTCTCTCACTCCCCCTCAATGGGATGGGGGGACAAAATAGGATGAGAAAGCTTGCACACTGAGATATAGATGGGGAGATTGTGTACTAGTTACTGTCACAGGTAAAACAGAGTTGACTTGGGGAAAATTATTTTTATTTATTAAAATAGTTTTGGATAGTGAGAAACAAAGACAAAAAATTACCATCCTCCTGCCTTTTAGGCTCAGCTTCACTCTTGACTCCTCTGCTCATGCCCCGAGGTGCGGGGGCAGGTGAGGATCACGGTCAGTCCGTAACAGCTCCTCTCTGCCGCTCCTTCCTCCTCACGCTGTTTCCCTGCTCCAGTGTGGGCTCTCCATGTGGGCTGCCGTCCTTCAAGAATATCTGCTCCAGCGTGGGCCCTCCATGGACTTCAGTTCCTTCAGGAACCATCCACCTGCTCCGGTGTGGGGTCCTCCATGGGCTGCAGTGCGGACATGTGCTCCAGCATGGTCCTCTCCGTGGGCCGCAGGGACATACCTCACCCAGTGCCTCAAGCGCTTCCCCTACCTCCCCCCCC